GTTTAACATTGACTGCCGTCTCTGATATATACTCTCCTACCGTCACGACGTAGCATGCCGGCTTCGGTTGCCCGCCTCGGTCGCCTATGCATTACAATGCAACGCCGCCCACAACCCACACGACGCCATACCGAAGCGCCCAAGAATCAGATGAAAACAGAAGATCGAGCTAGTTCGGGATCCGCTTATATACCTTCTGGGCAGGCTGACGGAACTGCGTCACCCGCAGTGTCCGCCGTGTTCGGGGTCTCCCAGTTTACTCCCACGAACCCCCTTTCCTTGCTCCCTAGCCTTTGTGCAGCCCAGTGTCTCTTCCGCCAGCGCTGTCTACGTGGCTGATATAGTACGTTTGTACTGGCGACAGTTATGACGCCACAGTATGCAAGGAAAAATATACAAACGTTCTATTTGTAATTCAAATGTATTACGGAATGACTCATTCTTTTCATTGTTGAGAGACCACCCCTGTTTGAAACCTCTGCAATTATACAAATTATGATTCAAAAGAGATAGATTCATAGGGAGGCAGATTTGAGAAAATAAAATATTGTTTGAGGCAGACCAATGTCATGGTTAGTGCGAACCAATGTGAGAAAATGGTCTGACAGTATAGGAGTAGTCTATATCAAAAAAGTCAGAAAAGTATGGTCATCAGGAACTTAACATAGTGTTCTTGAAGTACATTAAGTCCTACACATTTACCAAATGCATAAATTTTCTGACCATAACACAGTTGAATCTTCCTATGTAAAACACGATTTTTTAAGTCAAACAAACGGTGGAGAGAGCGTGAATATTTGTTTGGTTTATTATATTTGTGAGAAAAAATTATTTCAATTATTGTGAATAGTCTAAATTGACAATAAACGAACCAAACATTATGAATGGTAGTGTGGGTATTTATTGAACTATCTGGTAAAAACTCCTCCCTCGGGGGTGTCAGTCTCCCCTAGTGACACCACTGTAAGATTGAATGAAACACGAAGTATTCAATAAAACAATTTAATACAGCATAAACACAGTAACAATAAAAAAAAAAATGTAACGTCATGATATGCGAGGTCTTTTCTTTACAGATCCACTGTTATCTTCATCATGATCTTCACCATTATCATTAGTATGGTCCTCAGAATTTTGAACAGAGTGTTCTACAAGAACAGGTGCAATCTTCCCAAGTCTTCTACATGCTGAAATAAAAGTGGACATGGTTAAATGAAGTTTAATAACAAACAAAACGTTATAATTACTATGATGCCTCAATATTGATTATAACATAAACAGTTGACATGAATGTTTTCAGTACACAAGGAGGCAGCCTAATGCCACCCACAACTGTTGATTTGAACATTGTTGGAATCACTTCAACAGTATGATTCAACTTCTTTTGAGCTGTAACATCATACATACACGTGAGGACTAAACTCTCCTCAGCCTCGCCCATTATTGTGGTGCCTGCGATGGTTAACATTGGAGCAGTTGGCGAGGAGATACACGCAATTATGTACTAAAAATTCGGGATGTCTATCTATGAACGTACATTGTTATGTATTTACTAGTAGGCATGCAAGTCATTCCATGTCAAATCGCACACTTACAAAACATCACTATTTTTTTAGCGATTTTTAACTTCTTTTTTTATGAAGTATAGGCTCAAAAATAGGTAGCAAGTACTTTTTTTTCTAATTCCACGCCTTTCAGAAATATTGCCAATTATTTTTTCCGAAGAATCCGGTGCGGGCTATTGTTCAAATTTTTTTGGCGCAAATACCGTCTGCTTCAGAATAAAATTACATCTATATTAAACTTAAAAATATGTACTTTCATTTGATAGTAAATATATTTATATATTTAAGTTTTGTTAAATGCAAATTTTCTCATTGAGACGACACTAATTTTAGAAAGCACTCCTGTATTTCTACACGAATGTTGTATAGATGGGTTAAATTTCAAAGAGGGATATAAATAAATAACAATAAAAAATAGTTTGTTAAATAAATTGACCGGAGCACCGATCTGTTTTTCATGAACACATTTCATTAAGAAAAAATGTTTATCTTCATAATTGTAGTCGTAGAAAGGCGCCGAAAAACTTTGGATTTTTTCAGTTTTCGAAAAATCAGGGCGTTCAACCAACATGAGACCTGCACCATTTTCTTAAATGTCCTTCAGTCTATCGAACAACAAAATTTCATCTAAAACGACCTCAATTAAAATATGTTTTAAAGTCAAGGGGCCCCGACATCAGTCAAATTTATTGGTGAATATAAATTTTGGAGAAAATCGGCTGAACAGTTTAGCCCGCTAGCGTTGTTCACAGACAGAAACGAACGTACGTTCTGCCATTAATCGATCTTTCGGTCCCACAAAACATGGATTCTGGCAACCTCATTTGTTAGAAGATTTTTTTCTTAATTTACCAACGGGATTAATCCACTTTTGCGTTATGAGGGACCTGTAATAAAAGTTGTTTTTTCGCACAGCATTACATACTTTCTCTGTACGGCGCTGTTCTCTGTATGCGGTAACGAGAAAGTAACAAAAATCCTGTAACGTGGTGTAGTCAGATTTCATGTTTTGTAGGTCCTTGATACCGAAAAATCGATTGACGGAAACCGTCCGTCTGTGAATAACCCTAGCGCCAAAACTATACATACGTTTTATTTCAGTTTATTTTTCATAATGAATAAACCCCTGTCGATCTGGTGTGTTGGAGCTCTGCGATTTTGTAAAAAAATTAATGTTTGGGGGTACTATACATGAACCCCTTGGGGCATTCTCAAAAATTTCTAAAACAATTACTCCAAATTTTGTCTTTAAATTTCTTGTAAACAGAGTAAAAGATGGCATAAGAGTTATAAAGATGACATAGGTCCAAATTTGTATTGTTAACTCTCAATTTTCTATAAATGCAAAATTTTGAATTTTTTCGGCGTCTTCCTACAACTGCAAAATTGAGGATTTTTTTGACAATTTTAGTCGTTTTCGCGGTATATGTGCAATGTTCAAACGTAACAAAAACAAGATTTTCTCAAAAACAGCTCCAATTTTTTTCTTTATTTTTGATAGGGATATCGATAAATGTACTCGATGAAGTGACAAAAACGCCATTATCCTCTAAACGTTTTTTTCAAAAAGGAAAAAAAATGACTAGCCTCTCACGTCGTTAATATTTACATTTACATCGGCGATTTCTTCCCATTATTGCATTTACGAGTACATGAGAATATCTTATGAAGGTTTTCGAAAACTCAACAACTTTTCTGTGAAAATGAGCTCAAAATTCGGCATTTTCAGACATGCTTAAACGCCATTTTGTCAAAACAGTTCCATATTTTTTCTTCAAACTTTTCGCAGAAATACTGTGAAATGCACTGTTTTAAGATGATATAAAATTCATTTTGCTGTATTCTTGAATTTTTTCCTTCAAAAATCACACAAATAGAATTTTTTAAAAATATCTCTCACGCCTTTAATATGCACATTTCCAGCGACTAGTATACAGTAGTGTATCGTAGTGTGGAAGTGCTTGAAATGACTTCCAATGAAGTATTTCCCAGATTCAGAAGATTTCTATGAAAAAGAGCTTAAGTTTCGCATTTACAGTAACTTTTAATTGCCATTTACTCATAAACGGCTCTAAATTTGTCAATGAAAATTTCATTAAATGAAGAGGTTTTACTCTTCTATAATATTTTTAAATATTTCTGTTCTATTATAAAACCGAAAAATTGAGAATTTTTAAACAAAATGTACTCTGAGTGGCTATAGATGGCAATTGGCTAGAGAATGTGGATAGTCGAGACCAAAGAAATTAGAAAACTAGTACGAGAAAGTCTGTGCCATTCTGTAGCACCACTAGTTTCTTTATTCAGTGCCATCAATTGCGTTGCCTTTCTGTTCTTCTGCTCTGTCTCATACCGACTCCGTTTCTCTAATTCCGTTTCCAATCGCTTTCGTTCTTCAATATCCCTTTTCTGCTTAGCTTTGGCCCCGCGAGCATAGCAAATGAAGCCTCGATAGAGTATGATAGAATTTTTCTCCACCTACAGTTTAAAGTATATTATCGAATGCCAGTTGTAGCCCTAGTGCGCATGCGTAGATCCCATAATAAACGACGCGGGCACAAATTTCACGAACACAATGAAGTAAATTTAATCATTGGTTTATGTCTTTTCCTCCAACAGTCATAACATTTAGAGGACTTGCGACATTATAGTTTATATACTATGCGCGAATTTTCAAATACATTAGACCATGGGTGTCCAACTTGAAAGGCCTTAAGGGCCGCAACTAAACCCTTTAACTTGAATGCGGGCCGTACTTTTATTACTCGGGCAATCCACACCTGACTTCCCGATATCGTTGATTTTGGCAGTTAGCCTGGCTGTTCCGAAACGGGGAGGGGGAGTGGAGCCATGCAGGATAATGGGCCTTATCATGCATAACGGAGTGAAACACATTAGGATAATTTTGAATTTCTGGATTTACTAGAAAAAATCCGTAATAATCTAAACAGCACCCATTTTTACATTGAAGGGGTGCTGAACCCAGTAGGGCACGTGCCCTAGCCGCACAATGTTCTCACACGGTAAGGATGCAAGAGACTTTCACTTTCCACTAATTACCTTTCAGGGGTTACAATAAATGGAACCGCAGCCCGGCAGTTGGACAACCGACTGTTTTATAGAGTATCGTGTAATTTATTCGACTTAAAATGACGTAATTAACTTAAAATAGTTATTTAAAATGATTCTTATAATTAATAAAAAATTTATAAATAATTTTATAATAAATTATTAATTTCGTCTATTGGAAATAATTGTTAACTTGAATTCGACATAGACAATCAATTTCTTGAGCGTGATAACTTTTTCCCTGTATTTTTTCCGAAATTGAAATTCTCTTGAGTTTTCCCGAAAGTGACCACCCTGTTGACTATTATGATTATTTATTATGGTTTAACTTAAATAATAAGTTCAAATGGTTACTTTATTGTACTGTCATAATTTCAAACCCTGATGATAATATAGAGAAATTGTCGAACCATGAACAAATGAATAGAAATACGTGATGTGAAAAACTATTTCCTTATTTATATATATTGATTAATTAAAATTGTCATTAAGCCAAAAAAAAGAAAGGGATCAAATAATAAATATCTTATTATATTACATTTGGGAATTTTGACTAAATTATCCGTTTGAAATATGAATTTCTTTTGAAGTAAAACAAAATCGGCATTGAAGAGAAAAATATGCATATATGCCTCAATATTATACAAATTATAGTGGTACGCCTTCAAGTCATTTTCAGTTTGACAAAGTCAAATAGACAGTGGCACCATGTTTCGAGGTAGTAATCTTCAATATTCGTACGTGTAAGTTAAGGGGTTAATTCAAACTTCCAATATTAATAATGCATTACGAAACTTTGATTATTTCATTTCAAATGTATAGGAATGAATGAATTTTAGTCACTTCAGAAGGGACCTTGGACGCCGTATAATTCTCAGTAAGATCGCATCATGATTTTTAAAATATAATTGTTAGAATACTTTACAGTAATACTTTCTCCTTACGACTGATGGATTAGTCTAGGACCCTGAAAATATTTGTTGCATGTGCATTAATTTAAGTTTTAAAAATATTATCTAAGAAACTGGAAAGTGTAATTCGAACATTATACCTTCGTTAAAGAAGTAAATAAATAATATATTTTTGTTCTGCCACCCTCCTACCCCAAAATTCACACTTAAACCACACACAAAACAAACAACATCACCTACTATACGCTGAAATGTCACCGGGTGAAAATAGACTTGCATCAGCCGGTGGCTGGAGCAACAGGCACCCACGAGGTCCCTCATTTGGGTTTCTCGTATGGCTGTAGCAATGAGTATGCAGCGTTCCTTCACGCCCCAAGGGCATGCCCACTTTGGTTTCTCATCCTCTTTTCCGTGGATAGATAGTCTACCTCGACTTCCCACATGCTACACCATTGCTCACATCTTGAATCATTAGCATATCGTACTTAATATTGGGGAAAGAACCTGAAGGACTTTGGGAAGGGTAAATAATGATATAACAAAAGATTACTGGATACTGCTGAATACACTGACATGCAAATTCAAACACATTTTTATAAAGTATGAATGAATTTTGTAATAATTCCTGAACATTCACTACTAAATTCATTTTATCTATTTTGGCTATTTTTAAGCGAGACTGACAATTTTTTGATACACTCCAGACAAAATAATCACTTATGAGTGTGGGGCATTGCTTCTCACAATTTTATTTATTAAATACATTTTTCAAACATTTTATTAACTGGTTCATTTGGATATTTTTGATTGCCCTTGGAAGTTTGAATTAAAGTCCCACTGCATTTCCAAAAATGTAAATACTACTTTAATACAAATTATTAATGTTATCTATTACTGATGTCAGCAAAATAAAATTCACATTCAATTTTTAACCATTGTCTTTCATGACTTATGAAATTTTACATGAATACAGGAACTAATCCATTTAGTATCATTCCTGCACAGCGGAAAATAGCAGAGACATTATTGGTCTGACATATACATCCTTTAAAATTATCCAGAAATCTTTAAAAACATATTCATCTTACCTCCATGCTGTAATACTTTTCTTCCAGCTTCTGATATAGAAAATTTACTCTGCTCTTCACTCAAGCCAAACAGTAAGCCTCTTGATCTTGCATTAAGAAAAAATATGGAGATTTTTAAAATAATAATCACACTAATAAATATGTGGCAGAATTTGATGACCTACAAGATTGTATACAGTTACATAGTCAAAGATTATTTCTAAGTTCAGCGGTAGCCCAGGGCATAAAAGCAATATATTTTTCCATTCTCTTAGTTGAATGTGAACAGAAACTAGAGAGGCTGGACAAAGTTTGAGAAAAAAAATTTACACTTGTCACTGCACATTGCTGCCTGCTGCAATACAATTCAGACTGTGAGAGAAACAACGCACAAATAATGCCTGTGGGAACATCTCTTTCACTTTAACCTGAAAACCACCGAAATGGGCATTGCAACATATGGCCGCATCGTCATGGGTCTGAACAATAAGTTTCTTGTCTATATTAAAATCATTCATGGTTGTGACGCAGTTACACAGCGCATCGGCAGATCTATCAACGCTGATATCTGTAAAGCTCATAAACCTTTCTTGAACTTCACCATATTTGTCCACATAAATCTAAATAAGAGAGAGTTGCGATTTATTAATTACATCTGAAGACTTCTAGAAGTCTGGACTGTCTAGAAGAATAGTCACAAAATTGGCAGAGGCAAGTTCCTTTGTAATTGTAGGTACCATAACACCTCTTCATAGCTTCAATTAAATCGTTCTGGAGAGCAAATTAAGTACACCTGAAAAATGCATTTGCAAATGATCGTTTAGGAGTTGAATATTTGTGCTGAGTTATTCTAATGTGTCTTCGTCCTGTCCTGTGGTTTCACAGCCCACTTCAAGCCTCTGCTGACCAGCGGTGAACCAGCCTCTTGGCCATGGGATAAGGAGTTTCTGTGGTTAGCATGAAGACATCCCTTCACCATATGTTCTGGTCTTCATAACCTTAGGGTAGGCTATCTCGTCATCACACAGCAATAGATACTGGAACATTTGTACGGAAAGCGCACAGTTATTATTTTGTTATGTCCAGGAATTGAATCTGGGGTTTCGCCATGGAAAGCGAGCATGTTAACCAACCGAGGGAATTATTGTGACTATGTAGTTTCGTTTATTAAAACAATATTTTTGATTTATCACATCCCCTGTAAGCTTGTTCTTGCTTTTGTACGTGGTGGACGTCAATGAGTTGTTTGTTCTTCTTCACCATTTCATTGTGTTTCAAAATTTGTAAGGCCTTCTGAGCATTTAGTTGCAAGTCTACTCGAATATAACCAACATTTCATAGTTTAAATGAACGAAATATATGATTTCTTGCCTTTTCTGCTTCTGCAAAGAACTAGCAAGGGAAACTACATTGTTGAATCCTTCTTTTGACCAAACGTGACTACACTGATCACTGCTAAAAAGAAGACACGAAGACACGGCCAGGAAAAAAGGTTTGTTGAATTTAGGGAAACCCGTTAATTATTTGTGTCTAGAATAGTTTGAAGTTCAAAAGTGTCTGCTCTACTCTAGCTTTCTGTCGTGACATTTTGCATTCAAACCTGGAAGTTCTGGTGTGGTTCTAACATAGTCTTTAATTTTGAGCTTTTCTCAAAACCCAATACTATGAAATTCAGTCCTTAATAATTGTTCTATAACACAATGACATGAACCACTAGCTTCTGGGCACACACAATTTTCATAAAAATTTGAGAGAAGGGACTCTCACGAACCACCAGCAAAGGACTGTTCACCACAAGATTTTGCAGTGCCTACAGTCTGTCCAGAAGTACACTCTCCCCACACATGAAACAGGAGCCCAAGGTTACCATGGTTGGCACACGGTTCCTCCACTGCGCCAATGAATCGTTACTTTCTCCTTTTTAATTTTCTTTCTTTTTTTTGCTTACAAAAAAGGAAATATTATCAATACTAAATTCTAATTATACTTCAATACTTAAACAACTAAAGAGATATAGAATTCCTCTGCAACATTAAGAACCATTTCAAACATCACAGAAACTTACAGATTCAGAAAACTGACTGTCTCCTTGTAGTAAAAGAGAGTTATTTTTCAGATCTGTTTTAAAGACATCCAAAGATCAATAACTTGTTAGGGAATTACCATACTTATGAAACGTTTCGTATAAAGTTTGAATTAGGTCTTCTGCCATCATATGCGGCATATCAGAGAATTTGCAACAGTTTGGAGCACATACTCCCAAAATCAACTCTTATTCTTTCCAGGTTAACTGTGGTTTAATAATTTGCTCATTCATTTCTTTTACTTTTGTCCTGCCTTTTCACGTATTTTGCGAGCTTCTTTTTACTCAAAACGGATATCCCAGCTCGTGCTCTTTTCTGTGTGTTCACTCCACTGTACAGATGGATAAAGTTCTTGAGGTCTTCCCTATCCTCCCTTTCTTTTTAAATCCCTGTCAATTTGCGATATGAGTTTAGTGCATCTCTTGCTTTTTGATTACTTCACTCACTTTCGAACTCAAACTTTGCGCATTTCTTGTACCCAAAGCAATGTCTTTAACTCCAAGAGAAGACAAGGGAATGCTTCTTCCACCAGTTAGGCCAGGAGAGAGGTCTCTTCTTCCGCCCCACTACCGTTGAAGGAAAGTGGAAAAAAGGAAAGCCAAAGTATGGAGAGAAAGAATTTATGGATACTGGAAACCTTCAAGCTACTCAATGTCCCTACTGGTTTCTGTAGGACCGGGGAGAGGAAATCAGGCGTAAGAAATATATTTCTAAAGGTAGGAATTAGTCACCTTTTACGCCAGGGGGCAATGCTATTCTAATAAACCACCCCAACACAACATGGGCAAATGTCAACATATTAATACTAATCATAGAAAAAATAAATTATACAATTCTAAAATAACCTTTACAATTTCTAAGATGAAGCAGTAATTCTCAGTAGAAACCTATATTTTTTAATTAATTAATTTATTTATTTAATGTCAAAAATTGTTAAAAACTATGTATACTATGGTGAAAAATGAATTATGTGCACATTGACTTTAATTCCGAAATTCCTACCCTATCGATTATACAAGTTGAATTCTGAATACAGATGGAAAAGAGCGTTTTGGCAAGAATTGATAAGAAAATATTCACGTCCATTTAATAAAAACTATTTAGAAAGTTAAATCAGCTACAGGTTTGAGCTACTATCCCTCATCGCGCCCTTGGTGACGGAATCGACTTACTGCCATGAGAACATGCAGAACGGTAATTTCAATAACTTTATTTCCCATTGAACTCTAGAAAATTGGCACAGATTGTGAAGCTAACTTATGACCAGGAGCAAAACAAAGGCCATACCAGTGTGTGCTCATCCAGACCAGATCGAGATAGAGGTCATTGACTCTGAAGCTTAGGTACAATACTTGTTACAGGTTGTGTAGAATTATACAGACTAAATGGTAATCAATACATTAAATATCATGGTTAAAATTAATATTACTTTCCTTTTTGATGCTTGGTATTGTCTCTAATTTATATAAACAGTTATGCAGGGGAAAACAATTTAATTGGCACTTAAACTTTTGTGTCAATTTAAATCGTGTAATGTCATTTTACAATATGTTAAACAATTATTATGCACTTTATACGATTTTTTTCAAGTGAGCTGTTGATTCTGACGCCTGATGAATATGAATACTACGTCGAGTGTTGTAGTTATAGACCTCGCAATTTGCTGAAAGCACTTTCCCCATGTCATTTTTGACAAAAACCACCAATTCTTAAATCAAGATGCAAGGTAATGGTAAAATTCGTAGATTAGTTACCTGGGACTTACAAGAATTATGTGGTTAGGATTAATTTATGATTCGTACAATTCTTTTTGTAATCTAAAAATCTTGGAGCTGCAGGATGTGTTTCCTCAGAATATTTCCATATCTCAGGCATGTACGAACATTTGCAAAATATATACGAGCAGTAGGAAGGCTGACTGAATTTGAAGAACTCTGAACGTGTAGCATAATGAACTTAATTTTGTGTTCAATTCGTTTACATCGACATTTTCGATTTGCATGAATCGTGAGACTCAAAAATTTTTACCTTAACATCAGTCAATTGCATATCGCTCAATTTGACTGAAATATGTAATTGTTTGAAATGGAAAACTGCATTAAAACTGTTTTCCCTTCGTTAACTATTAATTTGTTTACAACGAACCAATTTCTAATCTTTGACAATGCACAATTTACAGTTTCTTATTTGCAATCAATAATTGTATCTTCCACAAAGAGAACAGTTGTCCCGTTTGAATAGGCACGAGTGAATCATTTACATATTGCATGAAGAGAATATTGCCTAAAATCAAAACCATGCAGAACCCTGTGTGCAATTGGTAATGAGTCAGAGAGATGTGTGTAGCATTTAGGTTGGCTTACCTTCATATGATATGTAAGTAGTTGGAGCACAAAATAAATGGATGGCATCAGTCAGGTAATATAAAAAGCTGTTTGATTTAATTTGCAATTACCTGTCCCGAATAAGGTGTTTTCAATACGTTCTGTGGAAATTAAGTAATTCTACAAAGTGCATACAATATTCCATCATTCTTGTGCGATATTTCCACTGTCAGTGATTGTTGTTTAATGTAAGACCATAACAAGTATAGATCAATACCACGAATTCCATGTGAAGGTAATTTCTGAAAGAACAATGTTATGATCCATAATGCCAAAAGCTTTTGGAAGATCTAAAATTATTCCAACAGGTGCTTCATTTTGATTTATGGACGAAGCAACATTTTTAAGAAAAGAAAATGTCTGTTTCCATAGAGCTTTTTTTCTAAATCTATGTCGGCAATTTGAAAATGTTTCTTGAGAAAGGTGAGAGAAAGAAGAGCTGAGATGGTCCCTTGTTTTTCTTCAGGGTATAAATGTAGCTTCACCATTCTGCCATTTTTTATGTCTCCTTTTGCGAGAAGTGGTAGAAATAGGGTAGGGGCTTTGCTTATTTATCAGCAATTCTATAAAATCAAATCTGTAGTCTTTACCAATATAAATAAGTATCATATAACTCAGGAGTGAACATTTCTAGTTTTTAAATGATGGTAACATCGCTTTGTTGGTATTGTACTTAAATTCATCATTTAACTATACATAGTAAAACTATGGGTAAAAGAATCTGTAGTTCATGTAAACGAGCGCTGATTAAACTTCTCTCAACATATCACACACATACACAACATACAGTCTCTACCGACTTTTGAAGAAAATAAATCATAACAAGCCCCTGACCATGCCCGTGTTTAACTCCCATACCCCCTGTCCGAGCGGGCCTGACCTTTCGCTTGTCCTGTCCTTCTTCCCAAATGTTAGATTTTCTACAACAGTTTGAAACAGTGTACACTTTTTATCAATGTTCCTACCTTGGTTTTGAAGAATTTTTGTAAAACGGAAGTTCACAGAAAACGTTAGGGTAGTATGAAAGTCTAAAAAGTGAGGCAAGCGAGTTGGTGAAAGGCATGAATATAATTATGTCTACATGTGTTCATTCCTAAAATGATGACGGTCTCTGCGTTAAGTGGTTCTACGGAATTTTCTCAGAAACTCCAGCGTAAACAACAGTAGGCTCATAAAAAACACATGCAATGCTACCAGAACATGTAAACCTAACACAAATCTTTTCTCTTAAAGGATACATGTTTATTACATCATATGGCCCTTTTAACTGGAGAGGCACAGAAGCATTACTCGATATTAGCACATTCTGCAACATAAGAGACAACTTTTACTATCTGCACAGAAATTCGAAAAACATAATAAAGGCCTCAAGAATACTCTTTCAAAGTATCAGCTTTTACTTTTGGGAGATTCTATGCCAAATTTATATTTACCTTGGCAAACTTCAAATATATTTTACAAACAAAATAACAAGACATGCCGGTTTTAAAAGATTGCGATCTCAGAAGTTTTATTTTTAAGCTCACTTTGCCCAATTTCCTACAAATAAAAAATTATATGTACATGAGAAAATGTTACAATAGTTCAAGGAATTTATGCACAGTTATTCAGAGCATGAATAATCAAAATAAAATAAAAACTCTGGAAATATTAAATTTTCATTTTCATTTCTTTAGATCACACCATTTTCCATTGATAAACGGTAGTTAGGGGTCGACCATAAATTATGTAATGCTAAAGAGAGTGGGAGGGGGGTTTGAGGGAGCATTATGCTGTTGTATAGGGGTAAAGGTTATTAGTTTGTTATGTAACATTGATATTTTTTTTAACATTTTTAAAGATTGGGTGATTTTTTTAGTCATAGTAGAACATTAAAATATTAACTAATTACCTTATTTAAAAATAAATAAATTAAAATTATTAAATGTAAATTGTTACAGTAAATGAACATTTTCTTATCAATTTTTTTTTTATTGAATCTGTAAGATTATGAAGAAAATATTCATAACTGATACATAGTATATTCTAGAATTCATTTAAATTGATGCAGTAGACTCTCACCCAAGTGTCATTCTTGACGGTGTGTGCACGCCTCAGGTGCAGGCAGCTTCACCAATTAATTTTGACTGTTGTAACTTATTCTCATACTCTTTATATCTGACCAACTTATCTTACAAGTTAACATACAATACAAATAAGATGATAAAAATTGTTTCTACTGTGCTACAATTTATTTCCACTTCTCGCCTTTGCTTGAAGGGGGGAGTGTCACAAGCATTATTTACAAGTGTGTATAACGGATGTGTTACAGAGGGGAGAGGGGGAATTCAAATTTGCGTTACATAATTTATGGACAGCCCCTTAGCAGCTATTTTAAATCCTTTGCACAGATGAAAATTGAGGACGGTAGGACAAAATGTTCCATTGTGTTGCAGAGGGCATTTGACCCACTGCGCAAGGGCATCTCTGGCGTGCACACTCAATGAGAACATGTGATGATAAACACAATTTAAATTTACCTACTTCATACAACAAAAGGATAATTTGCAACAAAGCAGAACTTCAATATATAGAATACGATAAGGAAAAGCAACATTTTCTAAATATTTTGAATTACTGAAATTCCAAGTCTCCGAAATTCAGATTTATTCTGACAGTGGAGGGTCTAACAATGCTATTTCCAATGGCATTCAAATAATGGAGGTTTCATTATATGATATTCCCAAAATCAATTATCCACATGATTGATTGAACAACTAGTAACTATGCTGGTATAAAACACAGACTTACTTTTGATTTACCAAAATAATAATACATATGTCCTCTTGTAATAACGTGTTGTCTTGTAGCACCATCACTGGCAGCAGGGCTGTACAATAATTCAAAATATAATCCACGTCTTGCAGCAAAATTGTACATTTTCCTCTGATGTTTTATAGGATATTTGTTCCCAGGATCAAAAGTTACAATATCAACATTAAGGTGTGAACAGGTAAACTGCAACAAAGAACATAAACTTCATACATCCACATGCATTTTTCATCCCAATTTTTATTGCTAAATAAATGGAAGAGGTGATAACAAGAACACGTTAACTAAGAATTATCAAAATTGAGTTAACAGGTTTCACACACATTTGAGCACCCAGTCTGTTAATTCACGGAGTTTACGTAATCTATTTTGAAAGCAACCTGTGCAAAGTTGTTTGACACTTCTGGCCGATTTCACCTCCACTCATAACACACAAACGAGACATTAGGCACTGTTAACAGTTCGTTAGAAAACAAAGTTGTGTTTTATCAAACTTCAACATTTGTTAAAGTCAACGGGTTCGGGATAGATAATGTAACCAATAGCGCTAAGGCAATGGGCAATATGCTCAAACGTCATACTTCTAAAAAATGGCTCCAAATTTTTTCTTCAACCTCTTCCAATGGATAGTGCTACTTGCACTGTTTAATACGACAAAATTTCTTTTGGCGTACTTTTGTTTTTCAAAAATTTCTCAAATGTATTTTTTCTGATATATCTTTCATGCCGTTAATATGCACATTTCCAGTGATTTGTAAATATTATTGCATCTGTGAATTAGAGTGCCTCAAATGACTTTAAATAAAGTTTTTCGAGAACTCAAAAATGTTCTGTGAAAAAGAACTTCAAATTTTGCATTTACAGTAACTCTTGAACACAATTTAAAAGCAGCTCCAACTTTTTCAATGAAAATTGCTATTTAGGACAAGGTTTTACTCTTCTTTAATATTCTTAAAGTAATATTTCACTTCTAATATTAGGAAATAAAAAAAATTGAGAAAATGTCAAAAAAATGTACATTAGGCAGATGGGGATGGCAATGGCAATGATGATGGGGCAAGACCGTATGCCAGTCCACATCAAGGAAATTAGAAAACTTTACTATGAGAAAATCTCTGTCATTCTGTAGCACCACTAGTTGTGTTTTACTTTGTGTTATACATGTTTTGAATAAAAGGAAATCTAACAATAAACACATAAAAAAAATAACGTTTCACTACAATCTTGTGTGTCTCTTCAAAGAGTCATTTATATGAACAGTCTTCAATTCATTGCCTTCTACATGGGAGTATTTAAGCATTTTAGACATCCGTGAAAGTTAACAGACAATTAACAAATCGAGGAAGGGGAAAGTTGGCAAAAGGGAACGTATCTTAACAGAGACAATATTAACAACATTTTTACTAACGTCTCGCCAGGTGCACGTTGGTGAAACTGGCTTTTATCATCTTACTTACATCTACCAGAAGCCATTTTTATCAATTTATGAAGTATCAGTTAACGTGTTCGTTGCTCTTCTGCCACTCTTCACTGGTAAAATAAGACAATTGTAACTTACGTTGTAAGCTGCCTGTGTTTTTGGTATTGCAGCCAGCAAATGGTATTTTTTGGTCACAGGGTTCTGGATCTAAAAATAATTTAGAATTTAAAAATGGTTCGAACGGTTTAATAGAGTAATAAACAAATATCGCATATACAAAAGAATACCACACAAATTTAAGCGCACTGAAACATGCTGACATGGTCTCCTCCATTAACAGTTTTGTTTCTGTTGTTCTCAGTAATTTTTGTGTATTTTGCCCTTAAATTTCCTGCATTTTTTCTTCTAAAAAACCGCTCCAATTTTTTTCTTTAAATTTTATACACTGAAGAAAGAACGGTAAGAAATATGGTACTACTCCTATTTTCGGATATTGCTCGGTTTTTCGAAAATTGCAAAGAAAAAATATACAAAATTAAAGATGATAGTTCTTTGCCTGAGACAAATTGAATCAATTTAGCTCTTTAAATAAGGTCAAGTACACATTTTTGTAAAAGTTAGTCGTTTTCACCTAATTTCAGTTTGAAATTAATGAAGCATGTATGGGCGTTCCGTCGTACGTAACGATAACGTTGTAATATTGCAAAAACCAATGTGCTATACCACCACTCGTTTTTTATAACTCACCGTAATCGTATACACAGAGTAATCGTATTTACCGTATACTTTTCAATAGATACTGCAGCAAAATATTCGACTCAACTTGTTACGACAAAAGGACTCAAATTTATTATTTATTTCATAAGGTCACAAAAATGTCTGTGTGCGTTTTTCCCAGTTGTAATTTATTTGTTACAATTATTTGACATATTTGTGTTTTACATAAACAAATGTGAATTACAACGAAAATAAATACCAGCAAAAATGACAGAAAGGGGACTGCTTGGCCAGGGTTAAACTGACGTTATCAGAATATATTTTTAAATTTCTTATAAATTTACACACTTTTATATTTAGTGCAAGCGAAAGCCAAAACTCGTCGGGCGAAGTTTTTCAGAAATATGGTATTACTACCATTTTCGGATATTGCTCGGTTTTTCGAAAATTACAAAGGAAAAAAAAAAATACAAAATTGAAGATTTTTTTTGCCTGTTAATGGAGGAGACCAATTGAATAAAATTAGCTATTTAAATAAGGTCAAGTGCAACTTTGTGTAAAAGTTAGTAGTTTTCGCGTTACATATACAATATATACATAGATAATATATACATATACTTCAGACACTGCAGCCTTAGTCAAAGTTGAAATGAGGCTGAGATCTTAAAAGGAGCCCACTTGTTATACCAGAACCCATGGTATAACAACCGATTAAAGATTAATAATTATATAATTTGTATTGTATTACATTATATTATTATCAATTTTCATCCACCTCATAAAGGCATTTTCGGAAATTCAGCATTGATACCCGAAGAAAAAAGATTCATTTCCGATGTGTTACGTTCATGTGGAACCTTTCCTGTCGACGGAGCAACAAAATGTCATGGGGTCAGGTCATGGATAGATTGTTAAATACAACAATTACTCTTGCTAAATGTGATCTCAAATTTAGAAAACATCGTGAACAAATTGACAGAGATGGGGGCTGATTGACTTGAGTCAAGTTTTCCAACAAGATAACAAGCGCATTAACATAACATTTCCAACAAGCGCATTTTTACTTTCACGTATACGCACGTATATGAGGAGAATTAAACGGGGTATATACGTAGTATAGGGGAAATGTTATGCTGCGGAAATTCGTCTTCGAGATTTCAACGGAAATACAAGTTTGGGGTCCCCTGATACCAAAAAAGTTTCTTTTCAAAACGTCCGTCTGTGAACACCACTAGCGCTTAAACCACACGTAGGATTATTTTCCAAATGGAAGAAACCCCTGACCATCTGGCTTGAGTCGAAGCTTTGATATTTCGAAAAAAATCTGGAAAATTTGAGAGTATTTTTTCATGAAGCCCCCCAGACATTTTCAAAATAGAGGAAAAGACACTTGTGGAAGTGGCATACGTCCGATTTTCAGGTTTAACTCCGAATTTTCGAAAGTTTCAAAATTTGTTGGGCGTCTTCCTACAACTACAAAATTGAAGATCGAGATTATCCTTCAAATACAATTTGTTTTCCATATTCTCCATTACTGTTATGTTCTATTTTTGTTGAAAATTTTGGTCACTTTCACGCAATATGTACATTAAAAAATACAAAACCAAGATTTTCTCAAAAACGGCTCCAAATGTTTTTAAAAACATTTCGTAGACATAGTGCTAAATGTACTCTATAAGATGGCATAAACGACATATTGCTCTATACTTTAGTTTTTGCAAAAATTACAGAAATGTTTTTTTTTACGTCTCGCGTTTTTCTGTACAAAAGTGTATAGTTCGTTTCTGCGCTTTATGTTTCGGAGCCGAAACTGAATGAACACGATCCCAGAGATTTAAGGCCCATTCACAATGCAAACAAACATAAAACGCATTGACGTAAACATTAACATAAGTGATAGACTGAAGTATTCAGAATGTCTGGCATCAACGTAAGCAAAATAAGAGTTTCTATTGCCTGTGAGGCATTTCTAATTTCCTATTGGTTGGATGTGAGAATCGATTGTGAGGTATCGACTGTGTCCATGGCCCACATGGCGTTAGTTCGTCTATCGACTTCACTCCTCTTTCGATTCTCGATTCTGAGTTAACGTACTGCGATTGGTTCATGTCTTACGTAAGGATAAGCACAGAAGCTTGAAGCTTGCAAGCTTTTAAGTTAACGCCTTACGTGTTATGCTTATGCGAACGCATTGTGAATGAGTCCGCTTATGGACGCAGTCCTAACTTTTATGTTAACGCCATGCTAATGTTTATGTTTGCATTGAGAATGGGCATTTACACGGTCATTTCTGGTCTGTTTGTAATCGCGGTGAAAATGCTTCCTTCGGCCGCCGCAAAAAGCGCTGAAGATCACACATTTGAATATCGCATCTATAGTAACAAATTAAGTTAGGTAATATTACGACAGCACGAAACGCGACATTAGAACACAACATAATTTATTTCTCACTACATAATCACTTCTGATTACAATGCAACACATCAAAACGCTGGCGAAACTACAAAAGGAACAAATCGCACCAGACACTTAACAAACCAGAGAAAGTTCCGAAAATTGACCCCAGAAGCGCGGTAGTCAAACGGGACGAAATGTGCCGAAAAGGGAAGCATGCGTCATTTTTCGTACAAATTATATCCAGTTCCTTTTCTGTATCGGTAAAAAATGATGAAAAAAATGATCGTGTAAAACAAGCTTTACTTTCACATCATGAAATCCATTCATCATTGTGGATTGAAAGATTTACTTTTTGTAGTTAAATTCCTTAGTGATAGAGTTTCCCTATCGTTTGAAATTATTTTCTCTCCGCGTAATTGTACGAACTAAAAACATGTCAAAATTTCAATGACAATATAGTTCACTAGAACTTGTAACACCGGCAGTATTTGGCAGTAGCAAAGCTAATACAATAACTTTGGGTAGGCTGAAGCATGATTATCTACGTTCGACGTACCTTATATTTTCTTATACCAAGTCCAAGCATCGGTTTTTCATAGTCGCAAATTTGTCAGTAACAGGATCTTTAAAAATTTGAATACCCGCCAGCTGTTTAACTAGATTCTTTCAACGCCAATTGTACTGAGAGAACTTCATGTTTCGTTTTTCATTGAATTACAAAGCCAATTCTTTACTCTTTTGTTAGTTTTCATACTTTTCTCTGCTGAAGCTGTAGTTACTGTAAATGTCAAAACCAACTTCACCAATTTTGTAACTTCCTTACTGATATTCGATGGATCGTTTTCTCGAATGTACTTTATAAGCCCTACCAATAATCGTGGTATAAAATTTATTCTGTGCTTAAGTCCAGAATAGCAGGAGAATAGAGAAAACTCCTACCAATAAACATGGACTAACTCGAGCACGGAATAAGTGAGGTTTAGTTTCCATGGCAACCGCCAAACCTCGGAAACACGTAGTTTAACTGTGGAATTACCTAGAATGCGAAAAGAGAGGCGAATAAGAACGAACTGTTTGTGCGTTTCACTGCATTTTATCATTATCAGTTTCAATTAGATTGTACTTTCTTTTACTATGTTTTCTCGAATATTTGGCAACCTAGTTTATTTCGTAAATCATTAATTTGTTCGTGTTTTCTTAGATTTTTGGCATTGGAAACTTCCAAGTGATTTTGTTGGCGTTTCTTACTAGAAATACAAGGATAAATAGCATTGATGAACTGTACGGTCAGCCGAAGAAAAAAAGTAAGAGCACGTGTGAATCTGAATGTGTGAGGCTGAATTTCGAAATAAAAAAAATGTTTTTTCGTGGGACGGAACACGAGAGTTAACCAAGTGTCGAAGGGTGTCATTAGCAGTAAGCAACCATATCTCTAATTGGCCTACAGTGATATATGTCTGCTGTAAGTATTTTTAATCATTAAACGTGCATATGTACACTACCTCCTACAAAATTAAGAATATGCATTTTCTCTTTTAATTAAGTAAATAGTGTTATCCATGAAGAATTAAATAAATAAAATGACATGACACATCGTTCTCATATTTTCAATGATTCAACATTACAACAAAAACTGAAGAGGAGAAATTTCATGGCAGATGTTTAGTAGAATCTACTTCTACCTCTTTGAGTAATTTATCCGCCCCCATAAAAAATATGAAAAACGTTGTTTAGAGGTTTGTTGTATTGAAAAGCTGCTTTCAATGCCCAGAACAGACTTCAGAAATTCTGCAGAGCCTTTGCTTTCAAAAGTCAGAATTTTATGTGGAGGAAGTGATCAACCACTTATACTACCATTAGTAGCAGGTGTTCAAAGAGGAGCAGCAGTTTGGAGAGCACTTACAGAAAACAATTAAAATAAAATGTATGATATATAATTGACTTAACATTTTATGAATGTACTAATTTCAAATAAAAATTATACTTGTATTATGTGTCTGATAATAGATTTATCTTTATTTTATAAATATGCTCCAGTGTTGCAGCTATTTAACATTTAAATATTTTGGTAATAAATGCTTCTTTATGTTCAA